GCTCGAGCCCGCCCCCCCACCGCTGGAGCAGCTGGGCAGCCCCTGTGTGGCCCTGCTGAGGAGGTGGGCCGGAGGCAAATTCTTGGTGCGTGCCCGCACAGGCGCACACTTTAGAGGGAACCATGGTTACGACCTGCCTGCAAGGCCTCTTGTCCGGCCGTGTTCCCCTGGCACTGGGCCTCTGCCCATGGCGCCCCTCGCTTCGAGCCCGCCCCCCCACCGCTGGAGCAGCTGGGCAGCCCCTGTGTGGCCCTGCTGAGGAGGTGGGCCGGAGGCAAATTCTTGGTGCGTGCCCGCACAGGCGCACACTTTAGAGGGAACCATGGTTACGACCTGCCTGCAAGGCCTCTTGTCCGGCCGTGTTCCCCTGGCACTGGGCCTCTGCCCATGGCGCCCCTCGCTCTTCCCAGTGACTCACTGTGTTCGGCTACAGGGAGACCTCTGGCTGCTCCCCAGATCTGGCCCCCAGCTCCTTGCTGTAGCTCAGCCCCATCAGTGCAGATGATCTACCCTGCCCCAGCTCTGCCTCCTCTGGCTCCAGGCTGCTGCTGCTCTGCCTCTCTCTCAGCTCCAGTTGTCACTGTCCCCTTAGGGCTGCCCTCTTCTGCTTCAGGCAGCTCCAGCTCACACGGACCTCCCTTGTCAATCTGGCTGACCTGGAGTGTTAGCCTCTCCCCACTGGCCCTGAGGTCTGACAGTCTCCGGATCTTGATTTCTCATCAGCCCTTCCCTTTTCTTTCAGCACTGGCAAAGGGCTGACCAAAAAAACCCAGTTGTGTCAGGAAGGGGCCAGCCGCTCCCTTACATGTAGAGAGTGTCCTTCATATCACAGCAGGAAATCTCCCAGTGTCTGGGGCTCTCTGGGTATGTCTACACTAGCCCCCTAGTTTGAACTAATGTAGGCATTCGAAGTTGTAAATGAAGCCCGGGATTTAAATATCCACGAGGAGGAACGGTAGTTCGAATTATTAGAGATCCTAATTCGAACTACCTACTCCGTGCTGCGTGTAGCCGCGGGCACGGAGTTCAGACTAAGGGACATTTAAAAATGGCGGCGCCTGGGAAGATGCAAATGAAGCCCGGCACAGACATACCCTCTGTGCCTTCCTGAGATTTATTCTCCAGACCAAGGGGTGAGTTATATTTTGCAACTGAACCACATTTGGCAACAGCAAGGAACAGTAAAACCAAACCACCACTTTAACAGAAAGACCACACCCTTACAAAGGGGCTGCTGCATTGAGGTCAGCAGTGAAACAGCTCTGAGTTGCCAGATCTCCGTGTGGATTATGATTTTTCTCTTCCACCAGCCACCGCATCCTGATCTGGTTGGACTCCTTGACTCAAACTTCACTTGGGCTTTGACCCTGTTTGACAACATTTCATACCATTAGTCATTTCCATGCTAGGTCAAATGACCGCCCGTGTTTGACAGTTTCAAACAGGTTACTAAGCGCTAGTTAATGCTTCTCTTGCAACCCATGAATATTACTAGCACATAAAGTGTCAGGGAAACCTTGCTTTCAGAGTTCAGCAAATGGCTGAAAATGGAGGTTAGGATGTACAGGTTGAACTTCTATAGTTTGGCACTCTCTGGTTCTGCAACTTCTGTGGTCCAGCATGATTTTAGTTAGCTGGGCGTCCATTTGTCATGGGTGTGGCCAAGTTTCCCGCGGTCCCATAAAGTTTGTTTACAGACACTCGTGAGTATCGGGCTTTTCTCGACAGAACAGTTGCTGAGCGGCAGGTGGGTAGGAAGAAATAAACGTTCAGCAAGGCCAAGCAGATGGGACTGAGAAAACTTTTCCCAGTTTGTGTCTGTATGGGAAGTTAGCCTAAATAATAATGGTGCCTCTAGAATGGACTGTCATGTGTTGCTTACCTGGATTGGAACAGCAGCAAATCCAGGCCACATTCAGACACACCATCAACCCCACCAGGAAAACTGCCACCCCTAGGTGCAATAGCTGCGGCACACACCAGCTGAGATGAACTGTGGAGGAAGCAAACTCCAGTGGATTGTCATGAACTGGGACAGTCGTTTTGCACCATTTCACTGCATCCTCAGCTTAATTTACAAACCTGGAAATGGAGCTTTTTCGAAAAGAAAAAGAAAAAAAAGAAAAAGAAAAAGAAACTCGGCAGTCTAGACGTGGATCTTTTGAAAATACAACACAGGATCTTTCGAAAAAGGGTTGTATCTTCGAAAGAGCTGCGTCTAGACTGCTGGGTTTTTTTTCCGAAAAAGCTCCATTTTGAAAAAAAAGTGACAGCCATGTTTATGCTAACCAAGTGCAGGATATTTAAATCCCCACTTCATTAGCAATTTTGACGTTAATCTACGTCTCTCTGTTGACAGAGAGGTGAAGTCTAGACACAGCCTGGGTGTGTCTAAACTACAGGGTTTTTTTGAAAAAAGTCGCCTTTTTTCAAAAAAACATCACCTGCGTCTAGACTGCAGCCGCGTTCTTTCCAAAGTACATTGAAAGAACACGGCAGTTTTTTTTATCGTGGTAAACCTCATTTTACAAAGAATAACACCTTTTTTCAAAAGTGCTCTTTCGAAAAAAGGCGCTATTTAAAGCAAACTGCTTTTTCGAAAGAGAACATCTCGACTCTCTTTTGAAAAAGTGTCTCGCTTTTTCGAAAAATCTGCTTGTAGTCTAAACGCTCTCTTTCGAAAGAGGCTTGTAGTCTAGACGTAGCCTCTGTGTCACCTGTTCTTTACGTCACAGTTTCTTTTAATTGCAGAAGCGAATATAAAATTACTCACGTTCCAAGAACCTGGCACTTTTTTTAACACTCTTGCCAGAAGAGTTGAATTTAACTTCGCAGGTGAGAATTTTCGCACTGGTCCAGGTGTCCATCAGGATGCTAATGTGACTTATGAGCATTAAGGATCCATCCTTTGCTTTCAGTGATCGCACCAGCCC